TGGCCGTTGCCGTCGGTCGCGATGATCTGCCAGGCTACACCGTTGGCGTTGCCGCTGGCGGCCAGGTTGATCATCTGTACATTGCCCCACCAGGTTCCGCTGGTGTAGTAGGGCACAAATTTCTTGGTGCCGGCGGTCAGGGTCACGGCGGATGCCGCCACACCGGCTTGCGAGAACTGCTGGCTCGCGATACTGCCGATGACATTGCCCAGGTCGGTGGCGAATTGGGCCGCGTCGGTCACCGTGAGGAAGTCGCCGCCGCCGTTGTGGGCCGCGTGGCGCATGTCGTCAATCGTCGTGACGGTATTGAGCGAGGGCGGGGTCCAGGCCAGGTTGCCGAGTTTGGCGCTGGCCACTTCAGCGTTGGTCATCTTGCCCGGGGCGCCGAAGCTGACCATATAGCTGGTCATGTTCTGCCAGAACGGAGGGTCGGAAGGATCGCCCTTGCCGTTGTCGTTCGCCAGGTCGGTGCGCAGGTCGGTGACCCAGTACTTCAGCGCGATGTCGGCCAGCGTGTCGGCGGTGCCGCTTGAGCCGTTGGTTTTGTCCGATTTTCCTTTGTTGCGGATGTCGGTTTTGTTGCCTGGCGTGTACTGGTAGGTTTTGGTGGAGTCCAGGGCATGGGTGTATTTGGTGCCCGTGGTGCTGTCGACGTCGCCTATGCTGGCTGGGGCACCGTCGGTATAAAAACCGTCGGTGATCAGCATCGCATAGGAGCGGCGGCAGGACAGATGGCTGGACGTTGTTTCCCCGGTGGGAGGCGCCCAGGGCTTGGATCCCCAAGGGCCGGTGTTGGCGTTGTTCTGGTAGTACTTCCCGGCGTTGTTCAGGGCCGTGCGCAGCGGCGTGCCGCCATTGGGTGTGCGTGCATCAAGCCAGGAGTAAAAGTCGGCTTTGGCAACGCCGAAATCCTTCATCGTGTTGGGCGAGCCGTTGATGTCGCCATAGGCCAGGCGGAAGTTGTCGGCCTGGCTTACGAATGCCGCGGACAGGCCGGTCTTTGCCGACTTGATACGGTCGATATGGTACGCGCGCCAGTTGGCGATGTTCTGGCGCTCCTCTGCGAAAGTACAAGTGGCCGCGGCGCAGTCGGTACGGGTACCACCATGCGCTCCGAACGGGTTGGTGCTGCCGCTGCCGGCGGTATTGGACCCATTCAGCCTGAACTTGCTCGTCGTCACTTCATAGCTGTTGTAGTCCCCTGTATTTTTGATGGCGTTTGACGTGGTGTAGGTGGTGGGGTCCTTGCCGGCTTTCGGTAGGTACAGGAACACGACGGACGAGTTGCCCACGGCTGCGTTGCCCTGGAGAACGCCTCCGGCATAACCCGGTGCATAGAGCTTTTTCGGGTTGTAGAACAGCAGGTTGTTGATGGGGGAGCTCTGGCGCGGGTCGGCGCTGTCAATGCAATCCACATGGAAGCCCGGTATGCTGGTGGAACCGGGGGACTCATTGAGCAGCGCGTCGCTGACGTGCTTGGCGTAGACGCATTCCCAGTCCATGGAACCCGAGGTATCGAGCACCAGCGCGATATTGGGCCTGACGTTCACGGTTTTGGAGAGCAGCGGCTCCTGCGCGACGACCGCGAATGCACTGTCCGCCGCGATCAGCGCAGCCGCGTAAAGCGCAACGCTGCGCAAAGAGGAAAATTTCATGGCCAGGCCTTTCATGCTCGGGTCGAGCATCATTTCATGGTGATTACGGATTGGAGCCACACTTCGGTGCCCTGGGGTGCGCTTCCATCTTTCGCGCCGACTTCAGGGCCGAAGCCTCTGGCCGTCGTGACAAAAACTTTGGTGTCGGCGGGGGTCAGGTACTGCGCCATGCACTCGGGCTGGCGGGTGAAATAAACAGCGGTTCCCGCATCGCCGGCAGAGGTGACCGCGACGGTTTTGAGATTGGCCGACGGCGCCGGCAGGGTGTCCCAGTTGGCCATGGTTTCCCAAGCGTAGGGCGTGCCGGCGCCCACGGGAGCCGCCTGGGGCGCGAAGCCGGTGGCGGGGTTGGAGGCGTAGAGCTGCACTTGCTGCTCACAGAAACGCAAGGCCGTTTCGGCGGTCTGGCGGGCCAGCGCCTGCTGGCGGCTTTGGTTGGCCACCTGCTCGGTCGACGAGGCACCCCGGATCGAGATGCTGGCCAGGACCGAAAGAATCATCAGCATGATGAGGGCCACAATCAGCACGACGCCCTGTTGCCCGTGCCTCTTCAAGGTTGGGCGTGGTTCAAGGATTGACATAACCCACTCCGTGGTTGCGCAGCAGCACCGTGGTGCGATAGGCGCGGCGCAGCCTGCCGTCGGTGATGTCGACGTCGGTGCCGGCGCAGTTTTGATAGCTTGGCTTGGCGGCTGAGCTGCCCAAATCCCCCAGCACGGCGTCTTCGCTCCTGACCACCACGCAGACCTGCGCCGCGACCACCTTGTTCCAGCGATCCAGCACGGACAGGGCCGCCAGGCCCACATCCGTCGGGTTGGCGATGCCGGAGGCGCTCAGGTAGCCGCGCACATTCTGGCTGTTGGGGACCGCGGGCTCGGCAACCGCGAAATTCATCGTCGCGCTTTCAATGTTTTCGGCCAGCACCTGCGATTGCGCCAGGTTGCCGCTTCCGCGGCAGGTCAGCGTGTTGTTGGTGATGGCGATGCGCGACTGCATGCTGTAGAAAGGGGCGCCTGCGGCCCCCACACCGTTGCCGATGCAGTCCATCGGCACGCCGCCGGTGTTTTTTCCAGTGTTGAGGTCGCCTTCGTAGGCCACGGCCAGCGCGAAACCGCCGGCTCCAGCGCAGGTCAGGGCGCTCATATTGGCAAGGGACGCATCCACGAAACCCGTGTTGCAGGCGTACAGGTTCCAGCCTCCCTGGCCCAGGTCGTTCTTGACGCCGCCGGTGCGCGTGGGGTTGTAGCCCGCCTGGCGCAGCTCCTGGGTAAAAACGCCGAGCGCCATCTGCGCGTCCTCGTTCATCTGGCCCTGGGCCTGCGCGTTGCGCGTGGCCGTGCTGCCGGAGAGGTACATCACCACCAGCGCGCCTATGATCACCATGCCCAGCGCCATGGAGATCAGCAGTTCGATCAGGGTGAAGCCTGACTGGCGCCTTCCTGCGGGCTTTGCCATGGACATGCGGGGACGCTGCCGCGGGCAGCCTTTCGTAGGTGAGGTCATAACTGCACCTTCATGTAAAAGCAGCGCGGCAGCGTGGCCAGGGCTTTGGCGGTGGCCGAGCAGTTGTCGGCCTGCTGTTCTGCGGACTGGTCGACACCGGCAACCTTTCGGGTGTTGTCCAGCACACCGGCTTCTTCCCAGAGAATCCAGATGTTGGCCTGCGTTGCGCTCGCGGCGGGACGGGTCACTTCAACCCCACCCTGGGGCAGCAGCGAGCGAACCCGGCTCTGGAAGGCCGTCAGGTCGGCGGCGGCCAGAAACGCGGGGGTTGTGCAATTGGGAAAGGCGCAGGGTGCGAGGGCGGGAGGGTCGCCGGTGGTCATCATTGACACGTCATAGTTGCCGGCGGAAAGACCGGTCGGGTTGAGCCTGATGACCTCCGCCAGTTCCGTGGCCAACGCGCTGGCGATGGCGCGGTTGGCCGCATTTTTCTGCGCCGCGACCGAATAGGCCTGCATGCCGGCGAGGGCCAGCATGCCGAAGGACATGAGCAGTATGGAAATGAGCACCTCCAGCAGCGACGAGCCTCGTTGCCCGCGCCGCGAAAGAGGGGGTTTTCTGGTGAGGCCTAGCATGCGACGTCCCCCGTCTGGACTTTGACCCGGCCCACTGAGTTCATGCACAGGGTGCGGGTGTAGATGTTGTTGGCGGCGAATGAGCCGGAAGCATGCACCAGCCACCGGCCGGCCTGGCCGATGGCGCGGCCCGTGGCGTCATAAATGATGCTGTTGCCGGTGGCGACGGCCGCGGAGGTGGTGGCGCCGACGGCGAAAAAGTCGCTGACGCCGGCCATGGGCTCCTGGGCGCGCAACACGACGTCGGTCGCGACGTCGAACGTGCCGTTGCCGTTGCTGTCAAGGAATACCACCCATCCCTCCATCCAGCCGCCGACGGCTGCGCCGTTGCCGGTCGAGCATGCCGGGCTTGCCGCACTGAAGTTGGCGGTTCTGCAGATCGTCACGCTTTTTCCGCGCCGCATGGCTTCACCACGGGCAAAACGGGTATCGGAGATAAAGCCATTGGTGGACCGCGTGACGGACACGTTGGCCAGCAGGCCCAGGAAGGAGGGTGCCGCGAGGGTCGCCAGGATCCCGATGATGGCCACCACCACCAGCACTTCAATCAGGGTGAAGCCGTGCTGGATTCGCCGCATGACCCGCCAGGGCGGTTGGGGGTGGAGAGGGGCGGGGCCGGCGATCGATAGATTTTCGAACATGCGCAATTGTGAGCATGCCCCGCCGGTCCCGCCTCCTGTATTCGACGTCCGGTCAGCTTTGCGTGACGAACGGTAACTAGCGTCTGACTTCGTCCACCAGCGTCTTGAACTCGTCGATGTCCTCAAAGCTGCGGTAGACGCTGGCAAAGCGCACGTAGGCCACTTTGTCGAGTTTTTTTGAGCTCGCGCATGACCAGTTCACCCAGGCGGTTGGAAGCCACTTCACGCACGCCCAGGCTCAGCAGTTTTTCCTCGATCCGTTCAATGGCCGAGTCGATCTGTTCGGTGCTGACGGGGCGCTTGCGCAGCGCCAGGTTCATGGAGCCGAGGATCTTGCTGCGCTTGTACTCTATGCGCCGGCCGTCCTTCTTGACGATGGACGGGAAGGTGACGTCGGGCCGCTCGTAGGTGGTGAAGCGCTTTTCACACGCGCCGCACTGGCGGCGGCGGCGTATGAAGTCGGCGTCTTCCGCCACCCGGGTTTCGACAACCTGGGTTTCGAGATGGCCGCAGAAGGGGCATTTCATGGGTGTTGACCTGAACTTAAAAGCATCGATTGGTCTTTAGCCCATTGAGGACGGCAGGGGCAGCGATGAAAACCATGGTGCCCGCGCCGTCCGCCATGGTCAGCGATAGACGGGGAAGCGGCTCGTCAGCGCGTGAACCTTGGCGCGGACCGCTTCCAGGGTGGCCGCGTCGCGCGGGTTGTCGAGCACGTCGGCGATCAGGTGGGCCGTGGCGCGGGCTTCCTCGTCCTTGAAGCCGCGGGTGGTCATGGCCGGGGTGCCGATGCGCACGCCGCTGGTGACCATGGGCTTTTCCGGGTCGTTCGGGATGGCGTTCTTGTTGATCGTCATGTGGGCGCTGCCCAGCACCGCTTCGGCTTCCTTGCCGGTGATGCCCTTGGCGCGCAGGTCGACCAGCATGACGTGGCTTTCGGTGCGTCCACTGACGATGCGCAAACCGCGCTGCGTCAGGGTGTCGGCCACGATCTGCGCATTTTTCACGACCTGCTGCTGGTAGGTCTTGAACTCGGGGCTCATGGCCTCCTTGAAGGCCACGGCCTTGGCCGCGATCACGTGCATCAGCGGGCCGCCCTGCAGGCCGGGGAAGATGGCGCTGTTGATGGCTTTCTCGTGTTCGGCCTTCATCAGGATGATGCCGCCGCGCGGGCCGCGCAGGCTTTTGTGCGTGGTCGAGGTGACGATGTCGGCATGGGGGACCGGGTTGGGGTAGACACCCGCGGCCACCAGGCCGGCGTAGTGGGCGATGTCGACCATGAAGATCGCGCCGACGGCCTTGGCCACCTTGGCGAAGCGCTCGAAGTCGATGCGCAGGCTGTAGGCCGAGGCGCCCGCGATGATCAGCTTGGGCCTGGTTTCGTGGGCCTTGCGCTCCATGGCGTCATAGTCGATTTCTTCCTTGTCGTTCAGGCCGTAGGACACGACGTTGAACCACTTGCCGCTCATGTTCAGGGCCATGCCGTGCGTCAGGTGGCCGCCTTCGGCCAGGCTCATGCCCATGATGGTGTCGCCGGGCTTGAGGAAGGCCAGGAACACGGCCTCGTTGGCCGATGCGCCGCAATGCGCCTGCACGTTGGCGGCCTCGGCGCCGAAGATGGTTTTAACGCGATCAATGGCGAGCTGCTCGGCCACGTCCACGTGTTCGCAGCCACCGTAGTAGCGGCGGCCGGGATAGCCTTCGGCGTATTTGTTGGTGAGCTGCGAGCCCTGCGCGGCCATGACGGCGGGCGAGGCGTAGTTTTCGCTGGCGATCAGCTCGATGTGCTGCTCCTGCCGGGCGTTTTCAGCCTGGATGGCGGCGAAGATTTCGGGATCGGTCTGTTCGACCAGGATGTTGCGGTGGTACATATGGCAGTCCTTAAAGACGTGGTCCCTGCTATTCATATGAGCCGCGGCTCTAAATGAAACAAGGGCTGCCCAGGCGAACGGCTGAACGCTGAGGCCCGACGGCTGTCAGCGGTGCGCTTCCCAGTGGTGTCCCACGTCAGCTTCAATGGTTGCGAAAACCTTGAGCCTATCGCCAGTTGCGCACCCGGCTAGTGTAACTGAGGGCGCCTGAAACCCGCTGCCATCCGTCCCATACCCGTAAGCCCGAAAAGCAAAAAGCCGGGCGCTGGCGGCGGCCGGGCTTTGCGGTGCGAACAGCGGGCCCTCAGGCCGCGCCGGCGGGATCAGGACTGGCTCAGCAGCGCCACCTTCTCGGGCGTCTTGCCCTCGGAGGCCGGCGTCTCGGACTTGCCCGGCAGGGAGGCCGGAACCGGGCGCGAAGTGCCGGGCTCGGCAAAGAAAGGCGAGGGCTTGCCGCGCTTGGACGCGGAGGCCACCACGGCCAGCAGGCGGGCGTGCTCCCCCATCACCTTGCTGGCGTAGCCGCCGTCGTCTTCCATGTTGGCGGCACCGACATAGTATTTGAGGCCGCCTTCCACGGATCCGGCGCGGGCGATGCATTCCTGCAGCACCTTGACGCCGACGCGCAGGTTGGTCACCGGGTCGAAGGCGGCCAGCTTGCCGCCGAAGTTGTCGTATTTGTCGTGGTGCACCTTGGTCATGACCTGCATCAGGCCCTGGGCACCCACGGGGCTTTGCGCGAACGGGTTGAACCCGGACTCGATCGCCATGATGGCCAGGATCAGGGTGGGGTCGAGCTTGGCCTTCTGGCCGATCTCGAAGGCCTCGGCCACCAGCACGCTCAAGGGCTCGGGCGCGACGCCGTATTTTTTGCTCAGCCAGTAGGCCACAGCGGCCTGCTGGGCCGGCAGGTCTTTGGGGTTGGAGGCCGTGGCACGCTCGATGGCGGCGGGCTCGGTAAAACCGATGGCCGCTTCCTGGCGCTGCTGCAGCCAGGTCATGAGCTTGAATTCACCGGCCTGACGCAAGTCGGGCCGGGCCGTCAGTGTGATCACCGCGAACACGACCGCCAGGCCCAGAAGGGCGAAGCTGTTGTGGGTGATCTCGAAAAAGCCCTGGGCGATGTCATCGGCGATGGTTGCAATACCGCTCTGTACACTTTTCAAGTGCGCCTCAAGGCCGAATTGTCCTAGCGCTGTCATAGCACTCCTTTCTACGCTTGCAGGCCTTTGGGGGGCCGAGCAGGCTTTGATTGGGTCGCCATCAAACCAAGGCATGCCTTGTGGGGTGTTGACCCCTGTTTGACGTTGCCGGCTTCTTTGATGAATGGGGCAGCGGAGATTCGGGTTGTCCCTAGGTTTCTGTGGGACTGGCGGGATTCTATGGGGTCGTTAAATAACCTGTCAATAATAAGAAGTGCATTCTTTATATCAAATATGCAAATAAAAACCCTGATTTTCGGCAGAATCCGCCTGGATCAAGGTAGTTACGGCCTCTTTTTGAGACCAAGCTCTAAGTTAAATTTCGACGTGAAAAATGCCGATCAGCGGATCACGGGTCCGGCTGTAGGCCGTTTTCGACGATCAATGTGGGACTGATGGAGCGATTCGGGAGGCCGCCGGGCCGCCCAAAGGCAGCGGCAATCACTGCGGTCCCTGTGATTGAAAAGATGGTCTTGCCTCTGCGCCGGCAGAGGTTTAACCTGCAATTGCGTGTTCATTCACGCATCCAACCGGGTAACCAACCCCGGAAAATCTGGAAGCAATCACTTGCTTTCATCGCACTGGAGACGATTCATCTCTCTTTTGCGGAAACCCGACGGCATGAGCATAAACGCCCGCCGTCAACCCCGGTCGGTCTCACTGCCCGGGGTTTTTCTTTTGGGTGACCGTCTTTTTCAAATAAGTCATTGACCGATCGGCGCTGGCGTTAAAAACTCGACGCCTATGGCAATCCATGATTTGAAGAGTAAATGGCGCGAAATCGAATGGCGGAACACCGCAAAAACCTTGCCGGCACAGGCCGTGGGCCTGGCCCGCTCACCCTTGTGGCGGCGCCGCGCCGCCTGGACGCTGGGCGCGCTGCTGCTGCTCTGGGCGCTGGCCTATGCGGCCGTACCCCCCCTCCTGAAGTCGCAACTCGAGAGGATTGCCTCTGAAAAACTGGGCCGGCAGGTCACGGTGGGCGCGGTCGACTTCGAGCCCTGGTCGCTCGAACTCACCTTGCGCGACCTGGCCATCGCCAAGGCCGGCGCTGCCACCGCTCCCCAGGAAAATCCCCAGCTTTTCATCAAGCGCATATATATAGACGCCGAACTGCAATCCCTGCTGCGGCTGGCGCCGGTGGCCGACGCCGTGGTGGTGGAGGAACCCGCGGCCCTGCTGACCCACCAGGGTGGGGGACGCTATGACATCGACGACATCCTGGAACGCCTGAAGGCGCCGGCGGACCAGCCGGCCGGGGATCCGCCGCGCTTTGCGGTCTACAACATCGTGGTGAGCGGCGGACGCCTGGACTTTACCGACCAGTCCATCGGCAAGACCCATGAGCTGCGCGAGCTGAACCTTTCCGTGCCCTTCCTGAGCAATCTCAAGTCCCAGCGCGAGATCAAGACCTCGCCGCACCTGGCCTTCAAGCTCAACGGCGGCAGTTTTGACACCGCCGCCGAGGGGACGCCCTTTGCCCAGACCCACAAAACCGACGCCACCCTCACGCTGCGCGGCTTCGACCTGAACCCTTACCTCGCCTACTGGCCGGCCAGCCTGCCCTTCAAATTGCAGAGTGCCGTGCTGCATGCCGACGCCAAAGTGGCGTTTGAGCAGACGCCGGCCACGGTGGTGCGGATCTCCGGCAGCGTGACGGCGGAAAAGGTGCGCCTGCAGGCGGCCGGCCAGGCCCCTGCTGCCATTCCCGTCCCGGCTACCGGCAGCAAGCCGGCCGGCAAACGCCATGGCGGCGATGTTCCGCCGCCGCCCCGTCCCGACCTGCTCGCGTTTGAGCGGCTGCAGGTGAGCATGGACGACGTGCGTCCGCTGGAGCAATTCGTCAAGCTCGCGGCGGTCGAATTGAGCGCTCCCGCGCTGTCCGTCGTCCGCGACCGGGCAGGGCGGCTCAACCTGTTGCCGCCTGCCGCCACGGTTGCTATAAAAAATGAAGCAGACACCCCAGGATCCATAAAGGCTCCTGCAGGCAACGCCAGCAAACCGGCAAACCCGGGCGCTTCAGCCAAAGCGCCGGCAAGCACACCCTGGAAGGTGCAGGTGGCCCGTGTGGCCGTGCGCGCGGGCAGCGTGAACTGGCTGGACGAAACCCTGGCCTCGCCCGCCGACATTCGCCTGAGCGGCCTGGTGCTCAATGCCACGGCCATCGCCATGCCTTTTTCAGCCGGCGCGCCGCTGCAATTCGATGGCTCGGTGGGGCTGGAGCCGCCCGCCCTTGTGACCGTGCCCTCCAAAGCGGGCGCCAGGCCCACCGCGCCGCAGGCCCCCGCCGTGCCGGCGCTGCTGAGCTTCAAGGGCAGCGCGACCGACCAGGCTGCCGAACTCACCGCCAGGGTGGCGGCCTGGCCGTTGGGCATGGCGGCCAAATACGTGGGCCAGTTCCTGCTGCCGGCGCTCAACGGCCAGCTCGACGCCGAGCTGGGCATTCACTGGCAGGCGGCGAGCGGCGACAAACCCCAGCTGCTGCGGCTCACGGCGCCGCAGATCGCGGTGAGCGAGGTGCAGCTGGCCCAGGGCAAGGTCTCGCTGGTGTCGGTCAAGCGCGTGGACCTGGCGCAGGTGGACATCGACGTCACCGGCCAGAGCTTCAAGGCCGCCAGGCTGCAGCTGACCCAGCCCAAGGCCGTGGTCGACCGAGACAGCGACAAGCGCTGGATGTACGAGCGCTGGATGGCCAAGCCCGGCGCAGTAACCCCGCCGCCCACCGATGCGGCCACCCGCGCCTCCGCGCCCTCGTGGGCCGTGGCCATCAACGACGTGCAGCTTGAAGGCGGCGCGATGTCGTTTTCCGACAAGGCCGGCGCCAGGCCGGTGGCCTTCGAGGTCACCGCGGCCAAAGCCCAGCTGGGCGGGCTGTTGCTGGACGACAGGCCCGCGTCACGGGCACAGGCCGCGAAACCCATGCCCCTGACCGCCTCCTTGCGCCTGGCGGCCGGCCGCTTCGAGCCCGGCAAGGTCGATTTCAACGGCAGCCTGGGACTGGCTCCCTTGCAGGCCCAGGGGCGCCTGCTGGTCGACCGGCTGCCGGTGCAGGCCTTTGAGCCTTATTTCGCCGACACCCTCAATATCGAGCTGCTGCGCGCCGATGCCAGCTTCAAGGGCAAGGTGGCTTACCGCCGGTTGCCGGCCGGGCCGCAGGCCCAGGTAACGGGCGACGTGTCGCTTGAGGAATTTCGCGCCAACACGCTGGCTCCCAGCGAAGACCTGCTGGCCTGGAAAGCGCTGAACCTGCGCGGCTTCCATGTGGCGCTGGACCCGGCCAAGGCGACGCGGGTGGAGGTGAAGGAAACCGTGCTGAGCGACTTCTTCGCGCGCGTGATCGTCATGCCCGACGGCCGGATCAACCTGCAGGACCTCGTCAAATCGAAGGAGGCGGCGGTGGCAGGCGGCACCGCGAGCGCAGCCGCCGCGCCGGCATCCGCCCCTGCGGCCCCCGCGAAAACAGTTGCCGCCGATGCAAAAGGCGCGCAGGCCGCGGCGGCCTTGCCGCCCGTCGTGAGTTTCGGCCCCATCAGCCTGATCAACGGCAAGGTGCTGTTTTCCGACCGCTTCGTCAAACCCAATTATTCGGCCGACCTCAGCGACCTGACCGGCAAGCTCAGCGCCTTCTCGTCGCTGCCGCCCGCGGCCCCGGCCGGCGCTGCGCCGGCAGCGGCGCCCGCCATGGCCGACCTCGAACTGCGCGGGCGCGCCGAAGGCACGGCCTCGCTCGAAATCCTGGGCAAGCTCAACCCGCTGGCCAAGCCGCTGGCGCTGGACATCAAGGGCAAGGTGCGCGACCTGGAACTGCCGCCGCTGTCGCCATACTCCGTCAAGTACTCGGGCTACGGCATAGAGCGCGGCAAGCTCAGCGTCGACGTGAGCTACCTGGTGCAGCCCGACGGCAGGCTCACCGCCACCAACAAGGTCATCCTGAACCAGCTGAGTTTCGGCGAGAAGGTGCCGGGCTCCACCGCCAGCCTGCCCGTCAAGCTGGCCGTCGCGCTGTTGGCCGACCGCAACGGCGTGATTGACATCGACCTGCCCATCAGCGGTTCGCTCAACGATCCGCAGTTCAGCCTCGGGCCCATCATCGTCAAGGTCATCGTCAACGTGATCGTCAAAGCCATTACTTCGCCTTTCAGCTTGCTGGCCAACGCCTTCGGCGGCGGCGGGGACGAACTCAGCACCGTGGGTTTTGCCGCCGGCAGCGCCGAACTGGGCCCCGAGGCCAAGGCCGGGCTGGACAAGGTCGCCAAGGCGCTGGCCGACAGGCCATCGCTCAGGCTCACGGTGGTGGGCACCAGCAGCGTGGAGGCCGAGCGCGAGGGTTTCAAGCGCGAACGGCTGGACTCGCTGGTGCGCGCCGAAAAGCGCCGCATCACCGTGAAGGAGGGCGGCACCACCTCGGCCGCCGTCAGCATCAGCCCGGCCGAATACCCGGCTTTGCTCAAGGAAGTCTACAAACGCGCCGACATGCCCAAGCCGCGCAACCTGATCGGCCTGGCCAAAGACCTGCCCGTGGCCGAGATGGAAAAGCTGCTGCTGGCCGACATCAAGGTCAACGACGACGCCATGCGCGAGCTGGCCGTGCAGCGCGGCGTGGCGGTGAAAGATTACCTCGCCTCGCGCGACCTGCCTCCCGAAAGGCTGTTCCTGGGCGCGGCCAAAGCCGTGCCGCCGGAGGCCAAATGGACACCCCGCGCGGAGCTGAATTTGGCGATGCCCTAAAAAAGGCGAAAATAGCGCCAGTGCTTTATTGATAAAAGCTTTTATGGGAAGGGCCAGTGCGCGCAACGCGGGTTGCGCGGCGCGGCCTCCCATCCACTCCAACACCTGTCGCCATCCGCAAAGCGTCCCGTTCCCGAGGGAGCCTGCGGCTGGAGACATTTATTTTTTGACCTTGCGCTCCCATGTTTAAATCTTCCAAACCCGACACCCCCGCCGTGAAAACGCCCTCCACCAAGCAGGCCGAAGCCCATCCGCTGGATGGCCTGACCGGCGGCGCATTTTCCGCGCCCACTTCCGGCGAGCGCGCCTCGCGCATCCGCACCTGGCTGGCGACCGAGCCCACGGCC